AAAAAAAATGGCGACCCGCGTAGTTCGGCTCGATTCGAAAAGTTAAATAGCCGTAGCATCTTTGTAGACAACCAAATTAATTTACGTTTGTGTTTTAACATCATTTTTTAACTTTGTTTTGGTCAATTTGATCGTCCACACCGATAGACAGTATTCAGAAAGAGACAGAGAGAGAGAGAAGAGGGGAGGAGTTGATCTTGCGAGAACTTCCGGGCGGGTGAGAATAGCCACTTTCAATATGATGTAATAATGGTGCTGTTTAACTGTGTTTAGACTTAGACTTTAGAGTAGGATCTTGGATTTGATTACATAAACTACAAGTTTGAAGTAGAATTGTTTGGATGAGAATATAAAAAAATTGATCGGGCTATGAACTATTGGTATTCCAGTTCCTCAACAGTATAAAGAGAATCTAGATCTAGATCTAGACCTATGGAGTGGGTTTTGGCTTCAAGCGCTTTAAATATAATATTATTTTTTAAATTTAATCTTTAATAGCCTTAGAAGAGTTGCTAAGTTCAGATTATAAACTGACCGAATCTAAAACTGCAGACTTCGTGTTTGTTGCAAAACAAGCTTTGCATTGGCCAGGTGTTTGGACAATATGAAGGCCAAATGCTGTGGTGCCACTTTTAAGAAATAGAATAGAAGAACTTTTACACATGATATTGTTATATCATCTCTAAAGTATGAGAACCTAGCATGATCTTAAAATGTTCAAGGTAGCACATTTTTAGTGTACACCTTAGTCTTAGTCACGATGACTAAAGTCATCAGCAACGAGAAAGATACATGAAAAGTCAGGACAACTTTTGTTGTAGATGTCGAGGGACTTGTGTGTGTAAAAAAAATGCTTTTTTTATAAAACATTCTTTTTCTTCTTATTATGTTTTGCAGACTTTGGTGGATGAGCTGTACAACTTCCGGGACCACTTTGTTGAGCGGTTTGGACTAGAAAAGGCTGGTGATAAAGAGGTGGAAGTTGAGAAGAAAATGAAAGAATGTCTTCAGAAATTAGAATTCTACCAAGGTTAGTATAGTTGTGTGTGTAACTGTGAATTGTGTAATGAAGAGAGCTCATGGCAAAGAAGATTGTTGAGTTTTTTTTTTTAAATTTCCTCTTCATTTATGTTTGTCTTGGTTTTTAAAAAATCAGGATGTGGACTGGCTCTCTAGTTTCGCCTGTTTCTTTTCATTGTAATTGTAAATATCCTTGTCTGCAAGCAAGTCAATGTGATAGTTAATGAGCCAGGTTGTGCGGTTAGTTGAAATGTGTGCCCTAGCATGGTCCACCTCTTTTTTTTTTTTCTTTTTTTTGTGTTGTCCCTTTCTCTCCTTTTCAAAATGTTGCTGTTATTCTCGTGTTTACACCCTATTTACAATTTTAAAAATATTTTAAAAAACAATAACACCTTGTTGACATGATGTAAATTTCTGTAAACTGCACTTTGAATTGGCTCTGGCTGTAATGCTGATGCTGCAAAAATATCATTTATACATAAATATTTTGTGGTGCCATTTCAAAAGTTTTGGATAATGTCCTACGGACATAGCACATTTTGACCTAAAGTTGATAATACAGATTGTTTTAATTTTCCAGGTGACATAAAGAACAAATCTATGATCCAGCTGTTGAGAGGTCGTATCCTGAATGTTCTGTACAAATACAGCCCAGAGGCAGAAGAGGCTCTCAGTAGAGCCGTGAAGCTTGACCCAAAGCTGGTGGAAGCCTGGAACCATTTGGGTGAATGCTACTGGAAGAAGGATGATGTATCTGCTGCCAAAAATTGTTTCACCGGAGCTTTGAATCATGTATGTTCTCATTTTCTATACAATTCAGTTCATGTTGTATAATTCTATGTTCCTGTTTTTATTTGGTTTGTGGTTAGAAATAGTGGAATGAGACTTTTTTAAAATTTTGGAGCCATTTTTTTAAAATGACATATATCTGTAGGGGCCTATAATTTTACAAGTGTTATAGTTTGTATTCTGCCTAAGAACCATAACAGGTAGATCTAGAGGTATATATTTTTTATAAAATAGTCTTTGTCATTGTTATTGAGGAAATTATTATTTTTATTGTTCATTCTGAATACTTTAAAAACATTTCAGAACCTTTGTTCAATTTGTTCCCTTCTGTATTTTTAGACTCAACTTTTTCTTCCTTGATTCAGTCAAAAAACAAGGTATCTCTGAGAAATCTGTCCATGGTGTTGAGGCAGTTGAGTGGGCCCCCTGTTGAGAAAGTCAAGCTGATTGAGGAGAGTGTACAAAGAGCAAAAGAAGCCGTTCAGTTGGACGTCAAAGATGGAACTTCGTGGTGTGAGCAAATTTCTAATGCATTTTAGCACGTGCCATATTGTGTTGTTGCGGTTTCTGTTTATGCCCCTTAGGCTCATGCCCTTTGATCAAAATGTCATAATTATCTTATCGAGGGAGGAGGTTTTATAAATTGTTCCCTATTGACTGGTACTTTGTTTTTCTTGGGGGAAGGTGGGGG